TGGAAAGGCAATTTGAAAGGATAATAATAATAAAAAAGTGATAGGAGGTGTAATTTTGAAAAATGCAATCCATTCAAATTCCACCAAAACCATGTCAATTATCTCAATAAGGTTTTATTTTTCACACTATCTAAGTTCTTATGAATAGTTCTTTAACATCTTTCTGTCAGTCGACTCATTTATGTGAAAACAGGAGCCTAGCTATAAAAAGAAATTCAATAAAACTATTATATATATTTTTTTCATGTCTATAGATAAAGAGTGACAACAGTTTGTGAATATTCTAGGATTGATTAGCACACTTCATAGCTAAATATTATTGTCAGAATAGAATTGTCATTCTAAAAAAAAATAATAGCACGATATAAAGTCTAAACTTTGAATTTCTGAGCTTTAGACTTGAAAAGGGAGGTTCAACCAAAACCTTTTCATTACAAAATTCTGTTTGTCCAGCAAAAAGGTAACTAGACACAAATTTAATCTGTAATTTTAACCCCTTAAGGACCAAACTTCTGTAATAAAAGGGAATCATGACATGTCACACATGTCATGTGTCCTTAAGGGGTTAAATCGGCATCACTGAACGTAATACAGGGAGTGCAGAATTATTAGGCAAATTAGTATTTTGACCACATCATCCTCTTTATGCATGTTGTCTTACTCCAAGCTGTATAGGCTCGAAAGCCTACTACCAATTAAGCATATTAGGTGATGTGCATCTCTGTAATGAGAAGGGGTGTGGTCTAATGACATCAACACCCTATATCAGGTGTGCATAATTATTAGGCAACTTCCTTTCCTTTGGCAAAATGGGTCAAAAGAAGGACTTGACAGGCTCAGAAAAGTCACAAATAGTGAGATATCTTGCAGAGGGATGCAGCACTCTTAAAATTGCAAAGCTTCTGAAGCGTGATCATCGAACAATCAAGCGTTTCATTCAAAATAGTCAACAGGGTCGCAAGAAGCGTGTGGAAAAACCAAGGCGCAAAATAACTGCCCATGAACTGAGAAAAGTCAAGCGTGCAGCTGCCACGATGCCACTTGCCACCAGTTTGGCCATATTTCAGAGCTGCAACATCACTGGAGTGCCCAAAAGCACAAGGTGTGCAATACTCAGAGACATGGCCAAGGTAAGAAAGGCTGAAAGACGACCACCACTGAACAAGACACACAAGCTGAAACGTCAAGACTGGGCCAAGAAATATCTCAAGACTGATTTTTCTAAGGTTTTATGGACTGATGAAATGAGAGTGAGTCTTGATGGGCCAGATGGATGGGCCCGTGGCTGGATTGGTAAAGGGCAGAGAGCTCCAGTCCGACTCAGACGCCAGCAAGGTGGAGGTGGAGTACTGGTTTGGGCTGGTATCATCAAAGATGAGCTTGTGGGGCCTTTTCGGGTTGAGGATGGAGTTAAGCTCAACTCCCAGTCCTACTGCCAGTTCCTGGAAGACACCTTCTTCAAGCAGTGGTACAGAAAGAAGTCTGCATCCTTCAAGAAAAACATGATTTTCATGCAGGACAATGCTCCATCACACGCGTCCAAGTACTCCACAGCGTGGCTGGCAAGAAAGGGTATAAAAGAAGAAAATCTAATGACATGGCCTCCTTGTTCACCTGATCTGAACCCCATTGAGAACCTGTGGTCCATCATCAAATGTGAGATTTACAAGGAGGGAAAACAGTACACCTCTCTGAACAGTGTCTGGGAGGCTGTGGTTGCTGCTGCACGCAATGTTGATGGTGAACAGATCAAAACACTGACAGAATCCATGGATGGCAGGCTTTTGAGTGTCCTTGCAAAGAAAGGTGGCTATATTGGTCACTGATTTGTTTTTGTTTTGTTTTTGAATGTCAGAAATGTATATTTGTGAATGTTGAGATGTTATATTGGTTTCACTGGTAATAATAAATAATTGAAATGGGTATATATTTGTTTTTTGTTAAGTTGCCTAATAATTATGCACAGTAATAGTCACCTGCACACACAGATATCCCCCTAACATAGCTATAACTAAAAAAAAAATAAAAACTACTTCCAAAAATATTCAGCTTTGATATTAATGAGTTTTTGGGGTTCATTGAGAACATGGTTGTTGTTCAATAATAAAATTAATCCTCAAAAATACAACTTGCCTAATAATTCTGCACTCCCTGTATATACAGTATCACTACAAAGCGTTATGTACTAACCAGCTAGCTAGCAGGAATATACAGCAGAGAAGTGGTCTTCCACAGAGACGGTAAGAAAGGCGTTTCTAGACCTGTGACATGGTGACAAAATGTGGTACAGGCGAACCGATTTGTCCAAAAAATATGGTTGGGTGGTCCAAGATTCGTCCATAACATGTTTCAGTTCAGCCAAATTTCATCCATGCAAACGATTTGGAAAAAAAAAATGTTTGCATAAAATAAATGTTATATATATATACTTTGCAGAACACTACACATTTTCGCATTAGTTTTTTTTTTTTTTTTACTGTGTCTCTTGTTTTTCCACTCTATTGGTCGCTTCTTAATTGATCTATGAATAAAATTTACATTTAGAGCCTGTCCAGTAACCATCAATCATCTTTTTTTCCCATCAAACATGTTTTTTTCTTTGTGGCATAGACGGAACTCTGAATCACAAAATTGCTTTCCTTTGTTTAATTTGTCTTGTGATTCGGTCATATGGCTACTCGGAGTTACAAAATTTGGATGACCCGTCGATCACCAACAATTTAGAAGAACTGTATGTAATTCATTTAAACCTGAATGTATAAGTCTAGTGTTTTCACTTACATTAGATGAAATGTAATTAAAGTAACAATAAAGATGTTGAATTCTAACCAAAGAGGTTTTGTTATAAAATTCTGTAAATATTTTTAAAAAAGGATTGGATTTTTTGTTTTTTAGAAAAACAGAATATTCAAGGATATAATTAAAATGTATTTGAACAGGTTGTTGATCCAAGGAGAAATCTGATTGCCATTATGCAGGGCTAGCGCTACCTGGGGGTGCAGGATTAGAGAGTGACTGTCAGGAGGAGAGCGCACAGCACTGTGCTCCCCTTCAGACAGTCATTTCGTCTAGCATGGCTGAGCCAGGGAATGGGGAGAGGAGCTCACTGAGAGTGCCAAACTGCTTTCTGTTAGACCGAGAGAGAAAAACAAGCTGATGGATTGAGACACACATTGAGACAATGGGGGATTGATGGATTGAGACACATGGGTGGCTGGAGGAATGAGCCACATGGGGGGCTGGGGGAATGAGCCACATGGAGGGCTGGGGGAATTAGATACATGAGAGGGCTGGAGGAATGAGAGACATGGGGGGCTGAGAGAATGAGACACATGAGGGCATTGGGAGAATGAGACATATGGGGACCGGGGGAATAAGACACATGGAGGGACTGGGGAGGGAAAATTGAGCACATGGAGGCTTGGTGGGGAATGAGACATGTAGAGGTGCTAGGGGTAGGAATTTAGACAAATGGGGGACTGAGTAAATGAGACACGTGGGGGAGATGACACGTGGAGGGGCTCAGAGACACCAAAGTAACATAGAGAGTCTAAGGGAGAAAGAGACAAGGTGCTGGGGGGAAGAGACACACAGATTGGGCTGTAGATGGAAAGAGATACACATGAACTGAGGGGGGAAAAGATCCACAGAGGCACTGGAGAATGGGCAAAAGAGACAGATGGGGAAGGTGCAAAAGAGACAGATAGAGGTAAGGGAAGGGGCATAAGAGGCAGACAGGGGTTGGTGGAAGACACCCAGTAGGGCAGGGGGGGACGACAAGAAAGACATAGAAGGGCCAAGGGAGACAGAGACACTGAGGGGGTTTGGAAAGGGGTGAATGAGATACACAAAGGGGCTAGGGAAGAAAGAGACACACAGATTGGGCTGTAGAGAGAAATAGATACACAGGAACTGGGAGAGGGGGGCAAAGAGCCACAGAGGCGCTGGGGAATGGTTAAAGAGACAGATGGGGAAGGTGCAAAAGAGAAAGAAAGAGGTAAGTGAAGGGTATTTGGATGGAAACTGTAGTTTAACATAAAAGAGGAACTGTGGGTGGAATCGTGCTACTTGGAGTTGTTAGTGAACTCGGCTGTAGTGAGCAAATTTTTCCAATCAGATTGTAAGTGGGTACAATAGCAGCGGACATATGTTTCTAGGGTTTGATTTATCAAATACATCTCAATATGTATGGTAGGCCTCAGGAAGGATAACTTCTTGTCCCTTTTCCATGTTCATCTCCAGTATGGAGTGTACAAAGCCTTTCACTGTTGTATCTACCAGACAGAGTTGAGAGCATCATGGTGAAGAGAACGTAAAAGAGCCAGTGGACCATGTAATCACAGGATTATGTGCCTGTAGCCAGGGGATCCCCAAGATGATGGGAAATAAAGAAGATGGTGCGAGATCGAAGGACAGAGTCTCTGTGTGTTTTCCTATTTTTACTAGAATAGGTTTGGTCTGTTTGGTGAGTGGACCAGAAGGCTGAAAGGAACCATCTAGAAACTGTATTTGTAACAGAGAGGCTTTATTCTGTACAGGTATACATAGGGAACATGCAAGAGTTTAGTCCAGAAAACAACCACTGTCCCCTGAATCAATCAGTGTTTGACATTCATAGCGCTTCTCATTCCACTGCAAGGAAAGAGATACAGATAAGTGAGTAGTCATAGTAACCAGGGTAAAAGATATAGCAACAGGGTCAGATTTCTTACCCCGTGAATTCTTCAACTTCTGAGGGCAGTCATTCACCATGTAAATACACAATAGAGACAGTGTGAATGTCACAACAGAGACACAAATTCCCTATCCTTCTTCTTGCAATTCAGCGGGAGGTAGTTTTTTTTTAAACAGGCTGACTTGCATTGGTTCCTCTGTTTTGCAAAAGAGGCCGAGGTCATAGGGGTGTAACCAGAAGAGGTGGATCTGGATCAGATGTATAAGTTGCTGCTCTTTCTTGTCGCCGTTCTCTTAGGTATCGATTTAGTTGGATCGTTTGGTTGATGACATTGCCAACCCACCTGCACAAACACTGCATACCCACCTGCACAGACTCTGTCAATCCACCTGCACAGACACTGTCCAACCACCTGCACAAACACTGCATACCCACCTGCACAGACTCTGTCAATCCACCTGCACAGACACTGCCAACCCACCTGCACAAACACTGCATGCCCAACTGCACAGACACTGCCTACCCACCTGCACAAACACTGCATACCCAACTGAACAGACACTGCCTACCCACCTGCACAGACTCTGTCAATCCACCTGCACAGACACTGTCCAACCACCTGCACAAACACTGCATGCCCAACTGCACAGACACTGCCTACCCACCTGCACAGACACTGCCTACCCACCTGCACAGACTCTGTCAATCCACCTGCACAGACACTGCCAACCCACCTGCACAAACACTGCGTACCCAACTGAACAGACACTGCCTACCCACCTGCACAGACTCTGTCAATCCACCTGCACAGACACTGCCAACCCACCTGCACAGACCTTTAAGCCCAAACTCTCCTTCTATAGGCTTCTGCTAACAAACACAGATACAGCTCTCAAATGCCAAACTGCATCATGGGGTTACCTGGATAATATGACACTAATTAAACTTTTGTGCGGTGAATTCTAGGGCATGTGGGGAGAGAGAGATGGGGTTAACAATAGGGAGAGAGATAGGGGCCTGGGAGAAAGGCATTGTACCGAGGAGAGAGAGAGATGGACTAGAGAGAAGGAGAAAGTTATGATGCACTGGAGAGAGAAATGGGGTTGGGGACAGATAGAGATATATGACTGGGGAGAGAGAGAGAGAGAGATGGGACTGGGGAGAGAGAGAAATAGATTGGAGAGACAGAAGGAGATATGGAGTTTGGGGGAGAGAGATACATGTGTCTAGGATGGAGTGATATTTTGGATTGGGGAGAGTGATAGGAGAGAATTAGACTGTGGAGAGAGATATGAGGATGGGAGTGAAAGCTTGATATCAAGAGATGGGGAGATAAGAGCCTAGGGTCAGAGAATGATGGACTGGGAGAGAGATCTAATAACGAGGAGAGGGAGATACATTAGACTGTGGAGAAGGAGTGGGAGAGGGATTGAGCTAGGGATAAAGATATATGGATGTGACGTGTGCATGACTGTATCACAGAGCTTCACAGAACTAAAACTCACAGTATTGTATAGTATGCATGGCTCTATATCAGAGCACCATAGCAATACAACTCACAATAATGTGCACTATGAATAACTCATAAAATAAACAAATAAACATGTTTCATTTATTTTTACAGAAGGAACACGAATCTGGACTGAAAAATAACTCTCAGATATATGTTCTTGAATCTTGCTTGCCTCATTGGCATATATAGTATTTTTTTCATTGATACATCGTGATTGCCACATGTTTTGTTCTTTTGGTTTATTTACTTTAAATGCCCTCCTGTCTGGTTCTGCAGAGATGCTCACTTTGAGAAGGGATCCTTCTCTCATTGTTATGTGTGCACTAAATTAATGAATTACTTGTAATGTGAGCAATTCAGTGATGGAACATATGCAAAGCCTAGCAAAGCCTTCCCAAGTGTCCTGCAATATCCTTCGTTGCTCCAGGCACAGTAATGATAAGGTCAGTAAATATAAACGGCACATATGTTTCACTACTGCAATTTACTGGTAAGAAAAGTGATGCTTAAATCATGATTTCTTTCTACATGACAGATTTATTACCCAGCAAGATAGTTCTATATAAAATTGTGTTATCTATAAAGTAAAATAAGGTTTTTCTTTTTCCTCTCTGCAGGCGATAAGTTGGTCGCTGACAGCTGATTCATTGTCTGAGTGGAAAGCACATTTAGTAATCATCACTCACTCAGACACTATGACTCACCATCACCACCTTTCAAATAAACAGGAGACGCATAGAAGTTTAGAAACATTTGCTGACCAACCGGATCATTGTGGCTAGCTGGGTAATCTATAGACAGGGCTTGGGGTGTCTGAAGCACCCATGTTCATTAATAACTGGACCAGAGGGTACCTAGTTCTAATATACAAAGGTCCAAAATATACATACTCTCCACCTTAACTACATAGCCAACCCATTCTCCCAAATCTCATAAGAGATGAAATATATTCTGGTGGGTGGAGTGTTACCTAAAAGGTAAGGCAAACCTTTCTTGTTGTAGTTTTTCTTAAAGATCTTTCTTTTGATCATGTACAAAAAGACTCTTCATATATCAACATAGCTGCATTAAAAGAAATTAATAAATAATAAAAGGCCCCTAAAAATTCAAGTGTAATATTACACTCCGAACAAAGAGATAACCCAGACCTTCATTCAAAAAATAAAAGCTCTTCACCCAAAAAGGCATTTACATACATGTGCTGGTTTGAAGAGCGTTCACTTGTACTGTGATTGATTGTTTTGTAAAGTCAGTCATCTCTAGGTGAGTCTTACTCTAGCGAAGCTTGACTAACGATGTCATTTTTGGGTGTGAGGCTGTGGTACGTGGACCCCACAAAAACAAATCAGAGCAGACATATTATGAAAAACAAAAAGCGTAAAACAAAAACACATATGAAAATGAAATATTAATTATTGGAAACAAACTTATTCAATAACCATTTCATAATTACATTCCTGTACCAATTAATTATTTTAGTAAAAGACAAACATCCATAATGCTCTATTACTTTGACAATGGAAAACCGATTCGTAGTTTACTTTTTTGTTCCTTCAGATTCCCGGCATGACATATGTTATGGTGATTTCATTGTCCCAATCACAGCTGCAGTTTATATCTAGGGAAGAATGGGTTATTTTGCTTGTATGGTACAATTATATCGAAGTAAACTGCTGAATGTGAGAGGCAGCTGCTTTGAGAAATGTGCTCTCCCGTGCGCGCAGTTTTAGTGGCATAATTTGTCTGAGTGTTACAATCGATCTCCCAATAAAGAAAACCTTTAGAAACTCAGTTAGCCTTGAGCAAGATTCTTTGCTGCTTAGACTCACACAACAAATATAATATTATTGTTATGTATTATTATTGGAATTTTCAGAAAACATCCTCTGACTTTATTTGATTTCTCTTGCCACAATTAATTGTCACTGAGATAAACATTTTATTAACACCTACACAAATGGAAATTAAAAATATTACAAGGGATGTTTATATTGCCTGTTGTAATATCAAATAATGTTGCAAAGGTTCGGCGACGTCAATGAAACACAAATGGGCTACAAAATGCATTTTTATATATATATATATATATATATATATATATATTTATTGCTTGCATCTCATTAAAGAGTTAATTCCATAAAATTGTGGATTAATTTATAAACCCCAAATGTTTATTGCCTTTCAAATACATGCTGTATATGTAATGGATGTACATGTATTTTAATATAGTGTGTGTGTGACTGCATATGTAATATTTTTGAAATAACATGCTGAGGCAGAGGATAATTTGAGTTAGTGCTTAGCAGGGGATTGTCATAGTACAGTTGCAAGAAAAAGTATGTGAACCCTTTGGAATGATATGGATTTCTGCACAAAATGGTCATAAAATGTTATCTGATCATCATCTAAGTCACAACAATAGACAATCACAGTCTGCTTAAACTAATAACACACAAAGAATGAAATGTTGCCATGTTTTTATTGACTAATGACATCTCCAAGAGCTAATTGGAGTGAGATGTCAGCCAACTGGAGTCCAATCAATGAGATGAGATTGGAGGTGTTGGTTACAGCTGCCCTGTCCTATAAAAAACACACACCAGTTCTGGGTTTGCTTTTCACAAGAAGCATTGCCTGATGTGAATGATGCCTTGCACAAAAGAGCTCTCAGAAGACCTACGATTAAGAATTGTTGACTTGCATAAAGCTGGAAAGGGTTAAAAAAGTAGCTCCAAAAGCCTTGCTGTTCATAAGTCCACGGTAAGACAAATTGTCTATAAATGGAGAAAGTTCAGCACTGCTGCTACTCTCCCTAGGAGTGGCCATCCTGTAAAGATGACTGCAAGAGCACAGCGCAGACTGCTCAATGAGATGAAGAAGAATCCTAGAGTGTCAGCTAAAGACTTACAAAAGTCACTAGCAAATGCTAACATCCCTGTTAGCGAATCTACAATACGTAAAACACTAATCAAGAATGGATTTCATGGGAGGATACCACAGAGGAAGCCACTGCTGTCCAAACAAAACATTGCTGCACGTTTACAGTTTGCACAAGAGCACCTGGATGTTCCACAGCAGTACTGGCAAAATATTCTGTGGACAGATGAAACCAAAGTTGAGTTGTTTGGAAGAAACACACAACACTATGTGTGGCGAAAAAAAGGCACAGCACACCAACATCAAAACCTCATCCCAACTGTGAAGTATGGTGGTGGGGGCATCATGGTTTGGGGCTGCTTTGCTGCGTCAGGGCCTGGACGGATTGCTATCATCGAAGGAAAAATGAATTCCCAAGTTTATCAAGACATTTTGCAGGAGAACTTAAGGCCATCTGTCTACCAGCTGAAGCTGAACAGAAGATGGGTGTTGCAACAGGACAATGACCCAAAGCATAGAAGTAAATCAACAACAGAATGGCTTAAACAGAAGAAAATACGCCTTCTGAAGTGGCCCAGTCAGAGTCCAGACCTCAACCCGATTGAGATGCTGTGTCATGACCTCAAGAAAGCGATTCACACCAGACATCCCAAAAATATTGCTGAACTGATACAGTTCTGTAAAGAGGAATGGTCAAGAATTACTCCTGACCGTTGTGCACGTCTTATCTGCAACTACAGGAAATGTTTGGTTGAAGTTATTGCTGCCAAAGGAGGTTCAACCAGTTAGTAAATCCAAAAGTTCACATACTTTTTCCACCTGCACTGTGAATGTTTACATGGTGTGTTCAATAAAAACATGGCAACATTTCATTCTTTGTGTGTTATTAGTTTAAGCAGACTGTGATTGTCTATTGTTGTGACTTAGATGATGATCAGATCACATTTTATGACCAATTTGTGCAATAATCCATATCATTCCAAAGGGGTCACATACTTTTTCTTGCAACTGTATATACTGATGTCAAGGATTATGCAAGATAACTTCTAACATACTTACACTCCACACTCATCAAGTGTGGATATACAGCTGTTCTGCATGCATAGGCTGTGGGAGACAGGAAGAAACCGTTGGCATGCATTACTTTAAAGAACACTACAGTATCAGGAATACAAACATGTATTATTGATACTACAGTGCTGGGATGCAGAATTAGGCCTCTTGCCTCCACTTTTTCTCCCATGCAATGCTGGGCTCGCCATGGCTGGCCCCGTCTGGCTCTGCCTCTGTGGCTGAGAACATAAAATTTGATGATCTCAGCCGATCCAATCCTGTCCCATAGGAAAGCATTGGAAGTCTATTGTACATGCCTGAATCAATGCATCTCTAGGAGGAACATTCATTGCCTCCATGTAGAGCATGAAGATGTTGAATGTAGTTGCTGCACACTGTGCAGCACTGACACAAGAAGCACCTCTGAGTGA